AACGACTGAATAAAGCAGAAGCCATCAGTGTCGACAGAGTCAAACCAGCATTCATCGACGATTTCGAAGCCAACAATAAAGACCAGCTGAACGACGTGCCAACAGCTACATCCACGCAAGCTTCAACGTCGCCAGAGAAGCCTATGAAAACTACACGCTCTGGTAGGAGAGTTCATTGGCCTAAACGTTATGTACAAATCATCAATATATAACTTATTACGAATTTTCATTTTTATTATCTTTATTCGTAATTGTCATTTAACAACTCATTTAACTGATTAATATTTTCATAAGTAAATCACGTCACTACTATGTTAACATTGATATTTCCTGTATTATTACATTTAATCATATAGCGCTTAATATTCACGTATCATTTCTGTATACAGACTACAGATCCCCGGCCGATTGTATCATTCCTTATATATTCTACCACGATCATCAATCCTATTTTTTGTTTTATTATCGCAATTATTATCGGCCTTATTGACCGCATTAAATTGCTCATTTTTTTCAGCTTAATAAATCGCTTTCTATGTACTATCGCTGCTACGTATTACGCTGACGCATTTTATTGTCGAACACTTAAATGTATTTCTTTTATATTTCAGTGTTCTGGTGGGGGAATTATGTAGTACCCCTATACCAACTATAAACATACATTTTTAATCTAATTTGCATACTCATATTATATGTTTACACATACCGATTTTATATGTACTTCGTAAACATTTGTCAATTTACTGTTGAACGTTACCTTGATACTTTTTCGAAAATTTGACTACGGCTATAATACACGATTACACTCTTCACAAGTGCCTTCTGATTTTACGTTGTGGGCGTCGAGTAGCCACAACGTCTGCGCACATTGATAAACGTGAAGAAGTACTAGGAAATACGTGTACGCTCATTTAGTCAAATAGAACACGCAATACTAGGAAATACGTGTACGTTAATTTAGTCAAATGGAACACGCAACAGAACACAAGAAATCAACCTTTGAGGAGTATTCGGAGAGGTGTCATTCTGGTGAGAGCTGTCTACTAGCCAAGTGGTTGACAGTAATTGAGGTCAATGTTAGTCATGTGAAAACAGGGTCAAGATGGACAGGCGGATACAGTTAAAATATAGATGAACTGACACAGCCACAAGAGGTGCAAGGTTAACTGTGTGTGAGAAACAACCAATCAACAGACTGTATTTTCTACTAACATAAACCTACAATAATGTACATCAAAATCTATAAATACGTGTTGATTTTCCGTAATAAACGTTCTGTTGCCTGGCCCTTGTCTTCTGTTGTTACACCACTGCTTAGAAGAGACGCCAACCTCTTGGAAAGAGTCCAACGACGGGCAACAAAAAGAGTAGTTGGTCTCCGAAAAAAAATATGATGAAAGGCTAAAAAAATTAGGCCTATTCACACTTAGCTACAGTCGTCTTAGGGGGATTTGATTACTGCCTACAAAATAACGAATGACCAGCATCATCCAAACAAAGGTGTTCTGCCATAGAGCAGGTATAGGCTTCCTTGTGGAAATCCTAGAATGATAGCTCACCAGAGGGCAAGGACCCGCGTGTGCTCCCACTTCTTTTCCCTGCGGGTTTGCCATCCCTGTAATTCCTTACCGGCAGATGCAGCTATGGCACCGTCTGTGGACGCCTTTAAGCTAAGGCTGGACAACCATGCAGCGACACAAGTACTGCATCCAAATAGCCTATCCCCTAAAAATCGCATACACCACTCAGGGGTAGACAACTAAATTCGTCGTTTTACTTCTTTACATTCTCTCCCGTCTTCCTCTTCTGACAACCTTAACTGCACCTATCATTATCATTATTACAGATATATTTATATATTATTCATATTATTATTCAAATTTAATCAGCTGACTGTTACGTTTTCTTATCCTTTTGTGTCTGTTAGTCTGAATAACTTCATTAATGATATCTATCATTATTATTATCTCTTTTCTTTTGGCGACTATACTGGAGGACTAACTGGTGAAAGGATCAATTCCATTCACAGTAGTAACAGTCTTAACACACCTCATACTACAAGCCAAGTATAATTAATCCCAGCACTATTCCTTTTGGAGTCAAGCAAAGCTACGGCAGTCTAGTGGCGGGACGAGCTATGCAGAAGTTTACCGAAGATCAGGAACCTATACCTCACAATCAAGAGGCGAGCACAAAGAAATCAAATTGGTTTATACTAGCTAGTAGAAACGATATTGGATATTGTAGCACACCTTGTAGATATTGAGCATAAAGTTAATGTTAATGCAGCATTTAAATGTATTGATCGCATTCCTATTAATCTTAATTTTGCTTTACGAGTTCGTCTTCCACATACCTACAGCTGAAGCCATAGGAATCCACCTGAAGAAGCCAAACCTGTGTTCAGAAGAAATTTGTACAGCCACTTTCCTTACCTTGGCCATCACTACATGAATGTGTGAACCGGACTACTTCGCCCTACCTCCCCCTAATTCCTTACAAACTGTAATTGTCCAAATTATTTCTTTCTGACTACTTCACTTTAACTACAAGTCATCACTGTCCAAGACATTTTATTTCTATTTAACAATCTGTTACGTAATCAACTTGGGCTTATTCCCTAATTATCTCCGGCCTCTTGACTTGTTGACACTGACTAATTATTGTTAACGAACATATCAGTGTCACTTGATTGTGTATTGTACATCACTACCTATACAGCGCCAATAAACCTGGATATCTATGAAATAACGAAAATATGCTGACAGCTGCATTTCAGATCGCACTGACTCATTCGATGGTAAATTTCTGCTCCTGCATGCCTCTTTCCACATTTTCGTATGGACTGGTTCGCAGTTACTCTGGTTCCAGACCGAAAGAACCAAAAATTCAACGGTTACTGAATTATTACAACTTCTCTGCATGTTTAACTGGATACTAACTGCTGTGGTGAGCCTCTTGCAGATTATATTGCTTAAAACATCGTTTACGGTAAACTAACTAACGTTTTTTAAGCCATTTTTATACTTTTGTGACTAGCCCACCATATCGACCGAATGTAACGCAACACTCAGTTGTTACGCTCATTTTCAACAAATTCAAACAATAATGGTGCCTAGGATTATACCATATAAACTGTTTTCACTTATGCAGAGTGTGCTTACTGTCATTATTTCATTACCTTCCCTTGTATATATATATATATATATCTTGTGTCAGTGAAAATTTTAAACATGCTTACTCCATGTGTACATTATTATCATATTGATGATGCCTGTCAACTGGAGTCCCTCATGTGCATAAAGTGAGAATATTATTATAAGACGCATTTTATTGTTTTATGAGGGAATTGACTTCAAGCTTTATTTATTTTCCCAAGTATCTGTAATCCATCCAAGGCATACTTGGGGTTTTTTGTTAATGCGAAGTCAATATCTCTATATTTCTTGATGTGTTCCATTGAATCCCTAGTTATCAGATTTTTCCCACAAACTAAAGATAAAATGACAGCAACCATGTTATTTAACCGTAAATCATGTAACTTAAATAATACTAATCCATGCCTATACAACTTGTGTGTCCTACATTTGTAGGAATAAATATTTACCTTATTATATTATCATTACTAACTATACTTACTAATCGTATGTGTAATTTATCGAATTGATGATGCCCATAAACTGGCGTCCCTCATGTACAAAAATGAGAATATATTATTATTAAAAATGCCATGTGTAAATATTAGAGTAGAGCCAGAGTGAGATGAGGATCTAATTGAACAGTAAATATTTCTACACTATTCAATCTTTTTACTTTCTAAATGTCTAAATGGGGATTTTCTCTCTCTCTCTCTCTCTATATATATATATATATATATATATATATATATATATATATATATATATATATATAGTTCTACGACAACCTGGTCACTGAAGCTGAGAAGGCAGCAGGCAAACAGGACCTGAAGACACTATATTAGATAACCAAGTCTCTATCTGGGAAGAGATCAACACAAGTAAAACCTATAAAAGACAGCCAAGGGAACCCAGTTACCAAGGAAAAAAGACAGATTAAACAATGAGCGGACCACTTCAAAGGAGCTGAAACAGTATGGACTAACATGGATGCAGGTGAAAAGTACAGTAGAAGACAAAAACCAGTGGAGACGTGCAGTTGAAGCCCTATGTTCCACTAGGAACCCAAGGGAACTATAATATATATATATATATGCATGCTTGAAATAAAACCATAGGATGTAAATTTTTATGTTCGGGAAACGTATTGATGACAATAATAAGAATGAAATTAGTATGTATGTAAGTATATGTATATCATATATTCTTTTACACCGAAATATATTCACAGGAGATACATATTAGTTAATTTTATCAACAAGAAACCTACTTGACTAAGAAAGAGGAAATATTAAGGACTGATGTGGAACAGGATTGGAAAATCAGGCCACAAAATACAATATTTATGTATATTATATATATATATATATATATATATATATATATATATATACGAGTAAAAATGATCACACGTCGTCACTGAAGCAGAAGACTAAGAAAGAAGGTAAGGTAAGACAAACAAACAAATCACTCACAACCTCCCCTTATGAAAAAAAAGAGAAACAAGAGAGAGAGACGAATCAATGAATGTCAGTCCAATGAATGCACAATAAAATTACACACCTCTGTTATATAATGATGATAAGAACAGAGAGATGTGTGCGTGTGTGTGCTAGCGGTGCAATTGATTCAACACAAAGTAGTTAAAAAGCAACACTATCGGGATCAGAAGAGAACCACCTTATATGCTGGAAGGGGCGGGGGATTGAAGAAGAGTGTACACATTTACACACACGCACACACACAGACAGAGACAAACGCAGATAATACAACATATTATGAAATCTAAAATAAGAGAGCAAGAGAGACACTAAAGCGAGTAGGGGAGTAGGGTGGGATGGGGTGGAAACAACAACACGACATGTGTGTGTTTGTGCAGGCAGATCACAGTCCATAGTGAGAGAGAGAGAGAGGGAGTAGTAAAAACAAAATTCGAAAAGAAAAAATATATAATTAAAAAAATTGTTTGTTTTTTCCTCATGGTGTTTTCATCAATCCACTTTCACAGTTGAATAAATTTTACGAACAAATCGGTTTGCAGCGACATATCCCACTGAACCTGAATAAAATGAAGAGCAATACAACAAATATGGTAGTTATATTGGGTTTATTTATTTATTTTAAAGAATACTAGTGACGACGTGTGGTTGTTGTTTATCAGTTTGAACAGTTCAACAAGCAGGCCATTAAGAAGGCTGATGGTACCAGGTCGAGTGGGATTTGACCGCGTGACTCGTTGGCAACAGAAAACCAAGCTCTTAAGCCAATGAGTCACACGCGACCTATCCAGTTAGGGCAACACCACCAACAGCAACAACAACAACAACAGACAACAATCAGCATAAATGGAAGGAATCTGAAAGAAACAACCTCCTTTACCTACCTACCTGGGAAGCATCGTTTCAACTACAGACTGATGGGACTGACGAGGATATCAAAGCAAGAATCGGAAAAGCAAGACAAGCTTTCACCACTCACGTCAAGTCTGTGTGGAGGTCAACACCACTCAGCATCAAAAATAACTTCCGGATTTTCAACTCCAATGTGAAGTCAGTCAGTGCTACTATACGGATCAGAGACTTGCACTGCGCGTCATAAAGAGCATCTCAAACAAACTACAAACCTTCATCAACAGTTGTCTTCGCTCAATACTCAAGATCAGATGGCCGGCCAGAAAAGGTCAGCAACAGAGATCTCTGGCGATGAGCAAACCAACCGATTGTGCAACAAATAAGCAGGAAGAAATGGAGATGGATTGGCCATACTCTGAGGAAACCATCAAGTGACATCACTAAACAAGCCATTGCTCGAGTGGAACCCAAAAGGGAAGCGGCGAGTTGGTCATCGGTGCGAGGGTGACTTGGAAGAGGTCATGTGAAGAGGAGATGAAAGCGTGTGGGCAGACTTGGAGCCAGGTGAAGACTCTAGTAGAGAAGCGAACGCAATGGAGACGCAAGGCTGAAGCCCTATGTTCCTCTAGGAATTGAAGGAAACCATAATAATAATAACAAACCAAACTATAGAAAAATAATAATAATAGCTGAAACAAGTGAAGATGACGAAAACTTACCACACAGGATACCAATGAACAAGCAGAACAAAGCCATATAACTGAAATAGAAAGTTGTCTGAAACACGCCGAACATCCTGGAGATAATAAAAAAAACGAAAGAGATTTTAAGCACACACGCACATATGAGAATAATTTATTACGTAACGGTATATATATATATATACATATAATACTTATGAAACTATTTTTTTTAAATCACTTATTGACATCATGTAAATTACTCAATTATTATTAATACTATCATTATCATTATAGCTTGATTCCACAGTATTTTTTGGCACAACTATGAAATTTTCAGCATGTGATATCGGTAGCCTAAATTTAGCAAGCCGACCATTGATAGCAGGGCTACGTCGGCCGGGCATCGAACGCCTGACTACGAGCGTGGTCGGCGAGTATCGTAAAGGGAGAACCGTGAGGCCTCCTCCTTATTGACAAAAACTACACACCCGAGCGCATCCGATTAGGGCCCGTCACGAGTTTCAACCCATTGAGGTGCAATGATGAGCCTCCATCCAGAGTCAGAGCATTCTTGATCAACCTAAAACCGGCGCCACATGGTATGTAAAGGGATTTGTCTCCCAGCCAACGCATTCATAAACCTAGTCGTCTACTTTACTAGCTGGGTTAGTGGTCACCCGACAGAAGACGTAAGATTGCGTGTAAGGCTAGTGCAACCATACCCCTACCACCCCCGGTAGTGTGACTGAAACGTTAAAAGAAGCTTCTTTTTATATTCCCCTAACAAGAACTGTCTGTCGGAGGTGTTTCTGTGGCTCTCATCGTTGTTTGTGATCACAGAGTGAAGTGAAGATGAATCACTAGCCCCTGAAGAACAGTAACAACTGTAGTAGGGGAGTAAGATGATGAAGGTGACCTGGGTAAACGAGAATGATGCTCGCGGAGGCTTCGTGTGCTCTTGAAAGTGTCTGGGCAGTTGTTACCTCCCGGCTGCCACACTGGAAGTTGACTGATTCTTCGGGTATCTGAGACAGAATGAGAGTTAGTGTTGCGTGACTGCAGAGCATAGGGGAGAACTGCTTGAGGCCGGTGACACACGGCCTGTATGAACTGGTTTCTTGGATCGGTTCCGTATTAGTAAACTTACCGCCGGTTACGAACCACCGTAGGGTAAGTCGGGATGTGCAGTTTTTGGGGTCAACCTTTTCTAACCCCTTCTCTGCAACAGAGTGGAGAGACAGCATAGCTGGCATACCGGTCATCTGAGGGAAACACCTCACTGCTGTTACATTCCCGTTCCTCACAGAGTACCCCCCAGTATACTGTAAAAAATTCTTACACTATGTCGGTAACTGCTTTTTGTCTAATCGCTATCTTAACAACCTTTCTGGCATGGTGGGACCTGCAGGAACAATAGTTCCAGCAAGTGTAGCTTATTGGCGCATTGCGATATGCAAGCCCGACTACTACCACGTCAAGGTAGCAGCTACCGGTAGGGACTAGGAAGAACATAGAGAATAAAATTTTTTATAAAAAAAGATGACAAATACTTACTTTGTTTTGAAAAAGTAGTAGTATATAGCATATAGGTAGGCATAAAAGGCGATAGATGCACCGGATAGAAAACTTGTCCATTGCCTAAGAAGATGAAAGTAAATACAATTGCAACAACAATACAGGATGACAATCATAGTGTTGAGCTCAAACACACACACACAGATTGACACAAAAAGCAGGATATATATTAGAAGAGAAAAAAGTGCCATCTTTTAACACTATGTTTGAATACGCTTTGTTACTTACTTACTACAACAGCACAGTACATTATTATTATCATCATTATTATTACTATTCTTTCCTTTAATTCCTAGAGGGACATAGGGCTTCAGTCGTGCGTCTCCATTGCGTTCGCTTCTCTGCTAGAGTCTTCACCTGGCTCCAAGTCTGCCCACACTTTTCCATCTCCTCTTCACATGACCTCTTCCAAGTCACCCTCGCACTAACGACCAACTCGCCGCTTCCCTTTCGGGTTCCATTCGAGGGCTTGTCTAGTAATGTCACTTGATGGTTTCCTCAGAGTATGGCCAATCCATCTCCATTTCTTCCTGCCGATTTGTTTCACAATCGGTTCCTGTTGTGTTGGTTCGCTCATTGCCAGAGATCTCTCTTGCTGATCTTTTCTCACTGGCCATCTGATCTTGAGTATTGAGCGAAGACAACTGTTAATGAAGGTTTGTAGTTTGTTTGAGATGCTCTTTATGACGCGCTGGCCAAGTCTCTGATCCGTATAGTAGCACTGACTGACTTTACATTGGAGTTGGAAATCCGGATGTTATTTTTGATGCTGAGTGCTGTTGACCTCCACACAAACTTGAGAGTAGTGAAAGCTTGTCTTGCTTTTCAGATTCTTGCTTTGATATCCTCATCAGTTCTGTACGCCTGTAGTTGAAACGATGCTTCCCAGGTAGGTGGGTAAAAGAGGTTGTTTGTTTCAGGTTCCTTCCACTTATGCTGATTGTTGTCTGTTGTTGTTGCTGTTTTTGTTGGCCAGGGATCTTCATCACCTCTGTTTTCTCTATGTTCACCTGAAGTTCTATCTTTGATGCTTCTTCTGCCCACTTGTTGCTTTTCGCTTGCATATCTTCCAGTTTGTGGGAAATCAGACATATATCATCGGCGAAGTCGAGACCCTCCGAGTTTTTTGTGTGAGTCCAGCACAGTACATACACAACAAATTTTATGCAAAATAAAATAAGTTAAGCAATAATTTGATAGACTTTGTTTACTACTATTTCAAAAGGCACTGAAGATTATTTTGTATCTATAGAAAATAGACAGCAGTACTGGGTGACGCGGGTTAGAATCTCAGAAGGGACATGAGTTCCTTCCAGGTTGCAGATACAACTTGCTGACTGGTGAGTGCCAACTAACACGCAACCTAGGTGGTCAAGGTAGGGTATCCTGCCGATTGCCTCCAACCGTGTAATACCAACAATTCACAGTGCATCGTGATGGTGAGCCGCCTAGTGGCATGGTGGCCACATTGCAAGCTTGACTGATAGAATTCCGTATGCACCGAAGATAAGAGGACTAGACACATTACACCAGTCAAAAAAGACATGAATTCTATCTACTATGTCAGAGAGTTCGATCTTATCAGCTCCGAATAGTTCATTGACAAGTGTGTGTGTGTATCGAAATGAATATGGTTATATTGCGGATAACCTAACACACCAAACTTTCACACTTTCCGGTGAATACAATTAAGAGAGAACGAACATATTTGCAGGCAGTATAATATGAGCTCGTTTTATGTATAGCAGTAGGTGAAGTGAAAAAGGCATATATTATGTGAAGAGGTTAACTACAAATTTAACAAATAGACGGGCTAATTAAGGCTATGAACTTGTAACACACCTTTACAAGACATGTGCTATAGTTGCTGATTAAAGTGAAGTGCAACAGTTCAAGTTTTGACATTCTATGTAGCACACACACACACACACAAAGGTAGACCAAAGAGATTCAGTACCATCATAAGCAGAAATGTAATCGAGAAAGAATAGTAACATGAAACAAAACCAGCAATTTATTGGATATAGCAGATCACACAGAGAGATTGAAAGCATTTATTCCACTGAGAACCATATATCCAATAGTCTCCAGTCAGTCTACAGCCCGCCCACCCCTCTTCCTACCCAATTCGGCTCAAACCAACCTTTAAAGATTTCATGGACTGAGGAAGCCATGTTTCGGTTTGACCCTCACTTGCTCTTTTCCCAGCTTAATCCTATGTCAGCTAACATTGCCCGTCAAGGAAATCGATGACAAGGCATACGTACCCATCTCAATCGACGTAGCTTCGCAACCTCATCGACAGATTTTCCCTCATTACCTATCACTCACCCTATTGCACCACCTACCACAGGAGATAGAAAGCAAAGTTCTGTGATCAAAGCCAACTCACCGTTTCATATCATCTCCTTTCAATGGCTATGTCTCACAGTCATAGAGAAGGATAGAGCATACTGTTGAGTAGTACATACATCATTCAACTGATATCCGGATATCACGCTAACGCCAGAGATGATGTAGGTTGGTGAATGCCACACTAGCGTTTTGAATCGCACGGTTGGGACACGTTTCATTGTCATCCTCGACAGGCGGCAATGTTAGCCGACATAGAATTAAGTTGAAAGAGATTTAAGGATCGTCATATCAAAACCTGGAATCAATCCATGAAGTAGATGACAGTCAAACTGAGCCATGTAGAGAGGCGTTAGCAGAGCTGCCTTGGTTAACGTGTTCAGGATTCATTCATTCTACAACCAACAGATGGAAACTACTTCTATTATTATTATTAATATTATTATTGTTCCCTTGGGTTCCTAGTGGAACATAGGGCTTCAACTGCACGCCTCCACTTGTTTCTGTCTTCTGCTGTAGTTTTCACTTGCATCCATGTTAATCCATACTGTTTCAATTCCTCTTCACGCGATCTCCTCCATGTCACCCTTCGACGTCCCACTCGCCACTTCCCTTTCGGGTTCCACTCGAGCGTTGGCCTGACACGCGATGTCACCCAGCGGCCTCCTCCTCAGCGAGTGTCCAATCCATCTCCACTTTCTCCTGCATATTCGTTGGGCGGCGATTGGTTCTTGTTTTGTTCGTTCCCATAGTTTCTTGTTGGTGATTCTTTCCCGCGGCCATCTGATCTTCAGTATAGAACGAAGACAGTTGTTGTTGATAAAGGTCTGTCACAGGCTGTTGGAAATATTCTTTGTGACTCGCCAAGTTTCTGATCCATCCGTATAGAAGAACTGACTGACTTGACGTTTGTATTGAAAATCCGAATCATTTTGTTGTTGATGCAGGCTGAGTGACAGCGGAAGATTTCCAGATTGGTTTCAGGTTGATGAATGTGTTTCTCGCCTTCCCGATTCTCGATTTGACATCCTCGTCCGTTCCTCCTGTAGTTGAGACAATGCTCCCTAGATAAGTGAATGAAGTAATGTCTTTCAAATCCCTCCCATTGATGGTGATTGGCGCTGGATGTTGCTGCTGCTGTTGTTGTTGGTTGGTTATTTTCATAACCTGCGTCTTGTCTATGTTCACCTGGAGTCCTTTCTTTGTTGCTTCGTCGACCAGTTTGTCGGTTTTCGCCTGTAAGTCTTCGATTTTGTGTGACATCAAACATAAATTATCCACGAAATTCAGGCCTTCTAGGTTCTTCACGTCGGTCCAGGTCTAATATGACTCAAAATCGTCCTCTCATATCCATTATAAACAATCATGTGATTTTCATGTCAGTGTTCTTCCTCCCGCACCTTTTTGGCTGACTATTAGTTCATTCTTATGAATCTTTCTTCCCTCACCCTCTGTCTAACTTTCTGTGCTACATAAAGTGTTGTAACTTGATCTAGTAGACTTCTGTGCATAGCTGTACATGTTGAAACTCAATTAGTTAGTCATTCCAGAGTCTCAACGATCATTTTGGTTAGAAATCAACTACTAGCTACTGCTTAAGCTAAAGAGCGTCCACGCCTTCACCAACCACATCATGGAAATTATAAAAAAGATTTTCATAAAAGAAACAAATCAGCGATTAACAACAAACAATGTGAACTTCTTACCAACGATAATCTTCAGAATTCAATAAGAAATAAGTTCCAACAACAGTGACTGAGGAGGTCACAGCAACAAGAAGAAATAGTACAAGTAGAGTGAATCCAAAAACGAAGTAAATTTTATAGGCCCAAAATGATGTGAATACAAAATACCTAAAAATATACAAAAGAAAGAGATGGGCAGGGGGTGATAGAGCGCATATAATAATTCACTATTACAGTCAATTAAACTTGAGTGACATATAACAGTTCATTGGGGGAACATAGGGCTTCAAGATATAGGGTTGAAGTTTCAGGAACAGCGGTGTTTATTTATACGGCATAAGGTTGCTAGCATCATGCCCAACCTTCCCTCTTTACCAGTCTTATTACTGGCTTAGCCAGCGAGGTAAAGGAGTGCGTCAGTGGCCAGGGATCGAACCACGGACCACAACATGAGGCGTGGTTGGCGAGCATTCTACCGCTGTGCCACCGACGCACGTTGACAACATTAATTTAGCCATAAAAAAACAAAATCAACAGTCAGTGGTCAATTTAACCCCGACCAACATAGTTGCTACTAAGAAGCAGTGGTCGGGCTTCCATATCACAAGGAGTTACACACTAGTTGAAATTATTATCCCTGCAGGTTCTGTGATTCCAGAAAGGTCGTTTGAATGACGGATAGAGTAAAAGCAGCTCCCGTAATGGTTGTAAGCCGTTTACAATATGTTGGGGGCTGTTTCTACGTAGTTGTACAACCGCGGGGAATAGGGATGTAACAGAAGTAAGGCGCTTCCCTCAGATGACCAGCTAGTCAGCTATTCTACAGCTTTACCCTGGGGAGGGAGACGGGTTAGGAAAGGTCAACCCTGAAAATTGTATATCTCAGCTTGTCATGCAGCAATCCGTAGCCAGTGGAAACATCCCAATACGAACGCAACTGTAAAAACCAATTCAAACAAGCTGTGTATGACCCAGTCTCAAGCAGTTGTCCCAAGGGCACCACAGTCACGCAACACTAATTCTTTCTTTTTCAGGTAACCAAAGAAAAAGTCGATTGCCACGGTGTAGGCAGGCGGGAAATAACGACCACCCACCCACACATACGCAAAGCTCTCCTGATCACCACCCACATTCGTTAGTCAGTTTAGTATACACCCAACTAAAAATCAGGGTAATCTTCAACTTTTACGCAAGTTAACAGAATTATTAATAATTCACAGTTTCTGAAGAAATAAATGACAATAATGAAGTTTTGAACATTTCAGTAAAAAACGGAGATTTTCACATACATGGATTCTCCCGCTTCCTGCTCCGGTACTCTCCAGCAGTACCCACACACCAGAGTTCCAAACCATGGCTTTCCGAGTAGAATCAGGTTCGTATACCATTATTATAACTTTACCAATTTGTGATCTTTGTGTAACCACAACGGGCCAATGTTATTGGCGAAAATTCTTCCTCACAGTCGACCTGGTAGACTTCACTGGTTACGAATTTTCACTAGAACTCCAGGAAACTTCGTCTTGTAGCCAGTCAACAGCCAGCCAGTGTCAGAATAATTTTCAAGAATTTGTTTGTAGGAATACGATGTGTTTCAGATTTCCAGACTAAGGATAGATATCAGTTAGAGAACTGCTAAAAGCCAGGGAGAGTACTGGACCACTGCTCCGTCCTAGTTTGAGACTTACAAGGAGTACGCACCCACCAGCATAGGGCTGTCGAGTCGAGTCGAGTCCCAAGGGATGAGTGGTCTAGAAGCTTGCCTTGTAGACATTTCACAATTTCTATTCAGAAAATCATCTTAGATATACCCTAGTTTCTGTCCTTTCAATGTCTGTCTGCTTTAGCAGCGACACGGTAACTTGATATCCACACGAAGGGTTACCTATCGACTTTTGATTGAACTAATGAATAAGCTATTAGGAACACATATATTAATCTAGCCACAGAAAACGTTCTAGCCAAAAATTTCCCGTCTAATCTGTTGGTTATTTTGTTTAACATGGAGATTTAAAAAATCACCAGTCTGACTTATTTTATTGTTCAGTGACTTAACTCTCACTGGCAAATGATGAAAAACACAATACTGCCTAGAACATCATAAAGAACTCTCTTTACAATGACTCAAAATTGAAAAAAAGACCCCGGGAAGAAATGAGATTCAACAGGAGTATAAACATATGTTAGCAGTTGTTAGTAGTCTGATCAGGAAAATTTCCTCAATGGAGTGCTAAGTTGTTTGCGCAACCAACAGTCAGTGTCATCAGGCGAGTATTTTTCCTCACAACCAACTTGATGGATGCCAGTGGGGTCATAACTTCCCAATGGAAGTACAGTACTCCCTGATTTTCAATGGTTCTCTTACTGAAGTCAGTTGACATTCTGAGTCTTGAAATCAGTCGAATCCCCGCAGATAGAAACCTGCAAAAATTAATGTCCTGCCCATTCATAACTGAATATACAGGATGGCGTACCTGAAGTTGTGATGGGAAATCGTGATCAGCCGAGTCCACCATGTTATGTGCCAGGACAAACACTCCCTGATGATATTAGTTGGTGACGGCGCTGTATTATAGTGAATTGGCAGGAATTTAGAACTGACGGCTTATTGGATTCTGTCCTAGCGACTGAATGGTCAACGAGCTCACCCTTGACCACCTTGTAACTTGATGCTCCTGGGTTCAATCCCTGGCAGTGAGGTCATGAGTACACAAATATTGAAGACTCCGAAACAAGGACGAAACTTTCCACCACCAGTATCCTGTGACTTTCAACCGTCTTCTTCTAACTGAAGTCAATTCGTTACACAAGTTCTAAAATCAATCAAATCCATGCAAACCAAATCTTAAAAATTTGCTATTAGGCTGTTGGTTCGCCGGATATTTTTGATTTTTTAACAGGCAGTTAGTTCAGCACGAAACAATATCACTTAAGGAGTAGTTGAAATACGATGGGCATCACACAACTGACATTAAAAAAAACTTGGTAAAGCCTTTCTTGAAGATCTGAATATATAATGAACGGGTTGATTTACCAAGTTCAACGTGGAGATAACAAGAACACCAATGGCATTATTGATATAAGGGAAGAATTTGTGCACTGCGGTAGACTATAATTTCACTGTGGATTAAATTTATTTTGATAAAGTCTCACAGTAATATTTACTGATGACAACGTTTCGAGCACAATTCACTGCTGCTGATAGTCATATCAAGGTACTCACTAACACACGACTTTCTAACTTCACTTATGTAATTCCATCATTATTTTTCATCGCTTGACTTGATTGGTAGTAGTATTTTCAATATTTCCGGTATGAGTGATGAGTTATTCCTATTGCATATGTGGAGTGAAGATTCTATGAACAAAGATTCAGTAATCAACCTGTCTCTCTCCACCTACTAGTTACCTATATTACTTTTCAGAATTTCAACTCTCTCCCACCCCATTGTGTGGTTATGTGTTAATGCATGCAGTGCTGAGCTTTTTTCTAAATTGCTTATCTTCGCAGCGTCAACCATTCTTATCTTAGCCACTAAATTCTTATATTCTGATAATCTGACTACCCCCGACCTACTAGTTTCAGCTATATAGTTGACCTCACAGTCATTGCAAGGTGTTTTACAAATTATATATTGTTTTGTTTAAACGCGTCAACCTACAAAGGGCTTCAGTCTACAGAGGTTGTCTCTGAGTGAGTGAGTTTGTAGGTTTGAATGTCACCAGCCTAATTCCTGCTTTATTCAGAATCCTACTTAGGGGCTCGTCTCAGACGTCCCCTCCTTACATGGTATAACAGTAGATGCCGTACATTCTCTCTTATTTATGTTTTCATTATTAGTTTCCTCATTATTTTTATTTTGCTTTTGACATTTTTCGATCTTCCTAATGAATTTTATAGGATAGTTATTTAACACCAACAAACTATTGTTCTATCTCTTTCATTTCATCATTCAGGTCTTTTCTTGTACTACTTAGTGCTATCGCTTGGTTTGTTAGACACTTAACTAAGCCGCCTGACTTCACAGACAGATAACGGATGAGATGAATTGAAGTCGAAATATCTATTAGCAGAATGCGTTGGCTTTTTATTAACGCTAGTGTGCAGTTTACCTTCTTCCTTTCGTTTTATTTTACAATCAAACACCATAGCTAATTCTCCTTGTTCATTTTCCAATTCAAATGTGAATTTTATTCCCTTTACTAATGAATTTATTTGTGTGTGTCAAGACGCTAGAGAGAGATATGTTCTGTTTATAACACTGAGTGAAAGTGTCATCCACATATCTCCAGCATATTTTTGGAGTAGGATTAAATGTTGTGTTAAGAGCAGTATTTTCCCAACTGTCCATAAAGATATCTGCTAAAATTGGGGATAAACGAAGTCAGATATAATATGATTATAAACAGTAATAAATTGGAGTGCTCGAAACATGGTCATCAGTAAATATTACTGTATAACACACTGTAAGACTTTATCAAAATAAAATTTTCTCCGCAATGGATTTAACACCTATAGAACTTGGACGGTTGATATTGTTGTAGCATGTATTGGCAAAAGTTAGAGATGATGGTATATGGGATTCCGAGCTAATTGCTGAAGCAATCTTCCGTTGAATAGCCAACAAAGTCACAAGTCACACACACTGAATGATAAACTGTTCGAAATAGCCGACAAATACATGTCCAGCCACCTCTAGCTTCCTTATGTCCTCTTCTAGTAAGTAACGACGTAATACGATGTAATCCAACATACAAGAAGACGTCAGAAAACACCTCATCTCTAACGCACCCCACCCACTATTCACTGTTGATCAAATAACAAAATGGTAATCACTTACAAAGTGAAATTTTTAAAAACACAACAACTTACAATTCAATGAAAATTGATCCAAATGGTAGTAGGCCACCAGCAATAATTAGAAATGCTGGCTCCATAAACCATTTTTTCTCTGGAATTGGTTTTGGAACTGGATTTACCCGACACGGGAAATTCGATACACCGAATAGATTCCGGCCTAATACAGTACCGACCAGATTCAATGGGATAACGACAAAAAATATGATAGCAGCTATCGCAAGCATTGTAACGAATGGAATGGAACGACTTGTATGATAATAGATAGCTGCAAGATTGACAAGAAATGTGCAACAGCATATCATGAAGGGCATCAGAGTAGCACCCATTAGGAATTGTCGAATCCAACGTTTACCTAGAGGAATAAAGATAATAAAGAGGAAAAAAACGACAGACGTAATATTAAATTTGAAGTGATATTCGTCATAACAATATGAATAAGATTGGGGCTACTTACATCGTGAAATAAATAAATAGGGAACGGACTGAACATATTATTCATATTTATTTAAACACAAACGTTTATTACAAAAATATGGACACCGACAGATTCCCCACACCACGATTTGTGACGGGGCTCAAGTACTATCCAGATGCCCAGATCACGGCAGGTTATTGTCTTAAAGGACCACTTCCCAATTCCCAATTTGACTGGAAATTATATACACAAAGCAGAAGACTCGTGTTTCTCTGGTTGCCAATAACGAGAACTGATTCTGGAGCTTATGTTGTATAACTTATAGGTTTAGAATCAAAATATTCCCACTCTCCTAGGTGAACACTTCCGTCTCCAACAGTTTGATGGTAAACACCAAACATTAGCATCCGCTTCTTAACACCACTGAGACTCAGTGGATGAAAGTCACAAACCATTTTCACATTTTATCAAGATAAAAAAGGTACCACTATGAGAAATATCAAAGTATAAGTTCATTTGATCATAATTATTGAAATTGAAACTTCTTCGAAATACACACTAACTTGTCGCGACTAAAAGCGGAAGTAAGACGAGAGAGACTTGGTACAGGAAGAATGTTGGCTATTTGGAATTTCGTATCTCTATATAGCCAGTTAAGCATCGTTTCAACTACAGACGGACGGAGCTGATCAGGATATCAAAGCAGCGAGGATCAGGAAAGCAAGGCAAGCTTTCATTTCTCTCAAGTCTGTGTGGAGATCAATACCCAGCACTCAGCATGAAAATCAAAATAAGATACGAATTTTCAACTCCAATGCGAAGTCAGTGCCACTTACTATACGCACCAGAGAATTGGTGCGTCATGAAGAGCACGTCAAACAAACTACACACCTTCATCAACAGCTGTCTTCGCTCAAGATGAGATGGTCGGCCAGAAAAGACCAGCAACAGGGATCTCCGGCAATCAACAAACCAACCCAGCAGGAACCAATTGGGCAACAAATAAGCAGGAAGAAATGCAGTTGATGGATTGTACATACTCTGAGAAAACAAACCATCAAGTGAGTGATATCACACAACAGGCCATTGCTCGAGTGAAACCCGAATCGAAAGCGGTGAGTTGGTCATCAGTGTGAGGTGACATGGAGGAGGTCATGTGAAGAGGAGATGAAGCCATGTGGGCAGACGTGGAGCCAGGTGAAAATGTTGGCAGAGAACCGAACTCAATGGAGACGTGCGGCTGAAGCCCAATGTTCCTCTAAGAACTAAAGGAAACAAATTATGTACACGTTATCTCCAACACACCTTTTGTACAGATGTGTCATGCTACTTCTACCCTCTCTTCACATTGTGTGTGTGTGTGTGTGTGTGTTTCTTAGTGTTCCTTTCGCGTCATCTCCCATGTATCTCTCCACCGATAGGCTGAATCACTCGGTTTCTTTGAAGTCAAATCCATCCCCCTGCTATTCGATATTATTTTTATGTTGCGGTGAACGTCTCTTTATATACTACTGATAAATCTTATCAGTAGCACATGCCACAACAATAAAGGAATGATGTGAACTTGTGAATTCTAATAGAAATTTGTATAAGTGAATTGAAATGTGTTGAATACTATTAAATGACTTATTTTTGGAATGTTAGTTACTATACCATTACTTCTTAATTAGGCTACTTGGCTGAGCATATACAAACAAACAAACACACTTCCAGTTACCGTTCTTTCTCATATACTTACAGACAACAGAATCACTGATTTCATAAACACTACATAGAACAAATTCTTTCTACTAAAAAAGGATGTAGAAAGAATGCAAGGCAAGCAAATCTTTATCATTAAAACCACAACATAAGGATAACAATTATCGATTGAGAGAGCTGAAAGAAAATGACATAGGTGAAATGAAAAACTTCTCTTCCTTTTCTTTTCTTTTACATATCATATCAGAGAATCTTTGGGATTTGTTACGTCACCTGGAGTGATGTAAAACCTTCTTGGAGTCGATTGGTTCGATCGTCTGCATCTGGCTGATGCTACACTTAATTCTGTGCAACTACCTCCTCCCATACCGTGGCCAACAGCAGACCACCCTAAGTCCCGAATTCATATTGATTTTGCTGGTCCTATAAATGGTGTAGATGCTTTGTCGAAATGGTCAGAAGTTATACCAATCGTTTCACCGACAACTTTGCAGACTCTCAAAGCTCTGACTGACATATTCTCCCATCATGATCTGCCAGAAACAATAGTTACAGACAACGGTTCACAGTTGACGTCTCATCAATTTCAGCAGTACTGCAGTCAAAATGCTATCAAGCACTTGTTCTCATCGCCGTATGTATCATCCTCAATCAAACGGTAAAGTAGAACATTTTGTCGACACCTTGAAGAGAGCTCTACTCAAAACAGAGGGAGAGGGGACATCATTTGAAATCATTGAAAAAAATTTTGATGGTGTATCGCACAAAGGCGAATGAGTTAACACAGAACCAAAAATCGCCAGGAGAATTTCTTTACGGACGCTAACTAAGAACGATTCGCAGCTTCATGTTACGACCGGCACCCAGACGTGTCGGTGTCGAAATGAGAGAAAACTTGATGTTGGTGACGCTGTCTATGTCCGCGACTATCGAGCGGGATATAAACCTTGGAATAAAGGTTACATCGCAGCACGACGTGGAAGTTGGTAGTGATTTATGTCATCCTCGGACGCACCACTAATCATTTCGTATTCAGATTCCAATAGAGGGCCTAGTGAACGATATCATTCGACTGTGTTTTATCAGCGTGTTTCCAATCTATCTTCACTTTTTTTTATCAGAATATTTGTTTAGCCTATAGGTGTCCTTCTCTTGTTCATCCCCAGAGTTTCTCGTAACTACTAATTCTTTCTGACCATCTAATCTTCTGTATATTTGAGCCAGAGAAGGCGGTTGTTGATGAAAGAGATCTACAGTAGCCGAATCATATCAAAGAAATCACTTAACGTTAGAATTGAAAATCCGAATTCAATTTGTTCTTAATGCTGAGTGAAGAAGATTCTCAAACCGATCTTAGAATGATAAGAGTCTGTCTTACCTTTCTAGTCCTGGCTTTGACATCCTCATCCATGCAGTCTACACCTTTATTTGAAACGATGCTGAGTTAATCAAGCAACCTTAGAATGTCAAATATAGCCTTAAATACATTGAATGGTGGTATGATTTAATGTTACAATAACTCTTATGGGCATCGGTGATATAGCGGTAGGATAGTGTTCAGTCACATGGATGGTCCACATAAGATTCCAAGCCAGTGTACTCCTCCTAAATCTCGCCTACTTTACTAGGGGAGGTTAGGCGTAAAACTAACAACCCAACTTGGTAAAATGATAACATTATCTCTACTCAAACTATAATCCCGCCAAATGCAAGATGATTCTACAGGATTGGACTACACCGACTCCTAGATTAGAAATAGCAAGTGAAGTGGTAGAGCACGTTGACCACTTCACATTCTTGGGAAGTACCATCAGACCCAACACATTGATCTCTGACGAAATATCAGCACGAATATAGAGGGCTAATTTCGCATATGCCAGTATACACCGTCTCTGGCGTAGGCGTGATATCCGACTGGCTATCGACCGAAGGGCGTGTGTACTGCTCATCGGTCCGCTCCGTCCTCCTTTATGGCTGTGACTGAGAAATGGCCATTGAGAGCAGAAGACATGAAAAGACTAGCTAACTGTCATTGATCATAGGTGCCTACGTTCGATCTCCCATGTGAAGTAGAATAATAAGGTGAGCAATAATGAGGTTAGGCGTCGAGTCCTAGGTAAGAAGGGGAAAGCAGTCGACGAGAATGTGAAATTACATCGACTGAGATGGTTAGGACATGCGTGTTACGTATGCCTAGTCATCGCCTTCCTCGACAATGGGCAATGTTAGCTGACATAGGGTCAGGCTGGAAAAGAGCTAGCGGCGGTCAAACGGAAACATGGCACCAGTCAATGAAATCCACAACAGTTAGTCTAAGCCACATAAGAAGGTGTAGACTTCCTGGTTGGGGTCCCCGGGACGGTAAAAACCAATGGTTGGAAACAATTGGTGACATGGCTCAAAATCATTCTCAATGGCTAGTGCAGATGCATCCACTCCTTGTGATTTATGATTTCCAATTAAACTGTTTTGTTCTTCGCTATTACTATACTTTTGTCTCACACCTCTGTTTACTGTCTCTAATATGCATTTCTCCTACTTTCTTCTCTTTCTTTGTGTGCCACAGGGAGGGAGTGTGGCGACTTGAACTGCTGCATATATGTGCAGAGTTCTATGTCGAAAACAGACAGACAGACTCAAACTATAAAACCTGAAGACACCTTATTTGTTCCATTGAGAACGCAAAGAGATGCAGGGGAAAAAATAATAATGATAATTATTATTATTATAAAGCTAACCTACCTGATGTACGTGCATATAAACTGCCACCAATCATTCCATTAATTGGTGAAGTTGCCGCAAAAACAAATATTGCTGTAGAAATAAAACTTCCACGTTCAGCATACAATTTATTAGCTAATGCCAAAAATAAAACTATGAATGAGACGAAAGCGAGATGAATTCCAGAACCAACTAAACTAGCAAGTAAAGATGCATGTCGTGGTGAACGAAATACATCCCCGTGTACTTGTTTCCAACCATACTCATCGCCTAATTCACGATCCTGAAAGACAGAGAAAAACAAAGAAAAGACATGGAATTTTAAATGTTCAGTTCACTTTAGACAAAGAGATGTGAATAAAAAGAACTTAATTCATTCGCCCTGCTCTAGGATAAGGAAAATTTGTAGTTCTGATTCCGTTGACTCGGAACTTGACTTCTTAAAAGCCATGCTCGCAGAAAACGGTTACCCTAACCGATTTATTGACAGCAACATGAAAGATAAGTAGTCTAAACTGGTCACCGACACAGTTCCAAAGAAAACCTTATTCATGAACTTGGAATTCAGAGGTGACCAAGCTTCAGATATGCTCAAAAATCGTCTCTCTAAATCAGTCAGTAAGACGTTCTATGCAGCAAAATTACATATGACGTTCACTAGCCACAAGTCGTTCTCTACCTCTGTAAAAGATAAGCTCCCCTGTCTGGCCGCCTCCATGTGCATCTTTCAGTTCACCTGCTCTTGTGGAGCTAGGTACATTGGCCGTAGTCAGAGGACGCTTTCCACACGGATACGAGAACATATTCCAGCAACATGGTTTTACAAGGGAGAAAAGAAGTGTGCGCGAAGCTCTATTTTGGAACACCTGATCGACTTCTGTCACTCTGTCAACCCTGACCATGATTTCAAGATCATATATAGAATCCATACTAACTTCCCGCGTTTTCTTCGTTACAGACTTCTAAAGATAGCTGAGGCCTTGACTATCCATTCATGACTTTAAGCCAGTCAGAGCTTTGTGTACAAAAGAAGTATGTACAATCCCTACTTCTGCCTTGGCCTTTGAGGGATGGATATTTATTTATTTTGTTTATTTAGTTATTCTATGTACTTTTCCCTTATTACTACGATTATTACTGCAATTATTATTCTCACTCTGAATTCTTCCCACTTCTCCCACTTGTCATTCTAAATCCAAAATTATAATATTTTTGTTGTTACAATATTGAATTCTATTGTATCAAATTTCACACCATGTTATGTAACATTTTATATTCGTCTACTAATCTTATAATTATGTACCCCTTTCTAAAATCTATACACCTATTGCATTATTCTATATAAAAAATTAATTGTTTTGCTACTTGACATTAAACTATGATTATAATCACAAATATTTTAATTACATTACATACTATTATTATTTCATGTATTCACAACTTTGACCTAATTCCCTCACCGGACATAATTTCTTAAGGAAAACTATATACATACGATTGTACAGCTTGATAATAAATTCGTTGAAAAGAGTCTCTTCGCTGAATATTGTGTTCTTAAAAAAACATATATCAAGGGTCACTAAATTCCAGCTTAAGTAGCTGAATAATCAACGAACATTGCCTCGTAAGCTGGGGGTCCCAGGATTGATCCCTGATAATTCTGGTCGTGGATGCTTCGTCCATGTTTGGGAATCTTCATCAGTATGCACATATGACCACCCCATATAGGGGATAAAAGGAATTTGTCAATTCGATTAAACCTCAACCATTTCACGTTGAACAACCCAATTCGTTTATCCGTGCTGATCGAATCACATTGCGGACAATTGGATTTTCAAAGGATATGATAGGGGGCTGCAGCATTTTTTTTTGTGATTGTTTATCCGTATCCTAAAAACCCGAAGACTTGCAGGCAAGCGAAAACCAACAAACTGTCTGAAGAGACAGGCAGGCAGCGAAGACAGGACTGACAAGTGACAGGTGAATATAGACAAGATAGAGACGCAGATGATGAAGATAACCAGCTAACCGACAGCGACAACAACCAGCACCAATCACCATCAACGGGAGCGAGAGATTTGTTAGAGGTGACATCCTGCTTTCACGTATCCAGTCATCTAGGAAGCAAGCATGGTTTCAACCATAGGCAGGTAGTAGGACAGCACGGATGAACATGTAAAAGCCAGCCAGGCAACCAGTATGAAGAACAAGAGTCAGATTTTACTTAATACAAATGTCAATGAATTCAGTCAGTTACTTCTTCTATACACGGGTGAGAAACTTGCACTGCGTGTGAGTCAGTCACAAAAAAGGGCTTTCAGCAGCCAGTTACAGACTTTTATCAATAGCTGCTCGCTTCGTCAGCTCCATACTGAAGATCAAATGGCCATGCGGCCGGCCATCTGGCCAGAAGGAATTAGAAACATGAAACTCTGGCAATGAAAAAACCAACAAAGCAGGAGTCGATTGCTCAACCAATAAATGTGTAACGGAAAATGGAGATGGTTTGATCGGGCATTGAGGAGACTGTCGGCCGAATGACATCGTGCGAAATGTAGGGCATTTCTCGAGTGTAAGGTGAATGGGAGGCGAGCGACGAGTGGATCGTCAGTGAGAGGTTGACATGGAGGATATCGTGTGGCGAGGAGGAGATGAAAGATTATGGGCAGTAATCGTGGATCTGGCCAGTTGAAGAGGTCAGCAGAGAATAAAAGAAAAAGGAGATATTTTATTGAAGCTCTATGTTCCACCCGGAACCCAAAGGAATAATAAAAATAAAATGAAAAAAAATTAAATTTGCTCTTCATACCATCGCTAATAAATACATCCTGGAATAAACATAAGTGCTATATTCTCCCTTCACTAGTTAGGAAGGTGTTAAGAGCAGCAGCCTGGGACCACCAGACTAAGTAGTCAGTTTGTTTTATAACCAAAGTTCACGTTTAACAGGTTAGATGGCCACATAACAATCATGAGAGTAACTTCTACTTGAAGCCAACCAAAAACGAGCTTGAAGTCATTCAAGCAGCATAACTACTAACTGGCTTCTTAGACCCAAAGACTTTCAGGTGATAAGGTGTAAGCCAGTTAACCATTCAGTAACTCGGATGGAAACAAACAGTTTATGAATTCTAAATTCTAATCAAGGCTTATTAAACCAATCAAATCTCTACTAACTAAAGCATTATAAAATTAACATTATTGACGCCGACAGCAATAATCACTGAGTGAATCATAAATACGAGAACACTTGAATCAGTCTATATCCTGTGCTCTGATATTCAGTGTTCAGTTGAGCTGACATATACACATCTATGTGTATTGATTGTCTCGTTTACACATTAGTCAATTATGTACATTACCTTATACCATACAGTCATTATAATATGTATGATTCAACGCCTGCTTAGTCACACACACACTGTCTCTCTCTCTTTTGTGCTACTATAATGTGTACTTAATTTGTTAAACGAACGAACAAACTAATAACAATCAATCTTTGGTTACAGGATTTCATCATGAGCTGACATCGGTTAGAGAACCATTGGAAAACCAACTGGGAGTACTGGACAGATGTTTCATCAGCCTAGTTTGGGGCTCATCATCATTACGCACCCAACGGGTTCGGACCCAGGACCTTCTGGTCAAAGGACAAGCTAGCTAGCTCGTAGACCATTAAGCCACTGGGACCCTATCCAGTGAGGACAAATACTCGCCGAAGACATTGGTTAGCGGTTGCGCTATATCGTGAATTGGCAGAAGTTAGAATTCATGCACTGGCTAGCTATTGGATTGGGTCCCAGTGGCTCAATGGTTTACGAGCTAGCTCGCCTTGTCACTAGAAGGCCCAGGGTTCGAACCCATGTTGTGGGTGCTTACTGCTGGAGAGTCCCAAACTGGACTGACGAAACAGCTTCCCAGTACCCTCAGCTGGTTTACCGATGGTTCTCTAACCAATGTCGGCTCATGATGAAATCCCTGTAACCAATCAATGAAATGCCTACAAACCAACACTTCAACAATCAATGTTGTTATTATTTACGTCTGTTCAACGCGGATATTACAACAACAACACTGCAATGAAATTTGTTTACTAGACAAAATCTAGAACATATTGAAGGGGAGAAAAACAATGAAATCATTAATTCTTAAAATAATAGAAAAAATCTTTAGAAAAAAATAAACAAAGGGGAACATTGCAAGTTGATTACTACTCTTGTTTATTTCTTGCTGCCATTCTATTCATCACATCACATTCAACATGGGCATTATCATTCCTGAAAAGCTTTCATTTCTTCCTCAAATATTATGTTCTCCAAGTTACAGTAGTACGCAAAAGTAAAAATTGTCGCTATTAATATATATTATGAGATTAGTAGACAAATTGAATAAAATAAAAACGTTACGTAATATTGTGTGGAATTTAATAGCATAGAATTTACCCAAATCCCTACGTACCCGACTCATCTGTACTGCTGAAGCTTTGGCTATCGAAACAGAAAAGCCAGATCTCTGTGTACAGAAAAAGTTCGTTCAACCCCTCCAACTTTCATGGTCTTAATCCCTCTATGCTGAAGTATGGTAATCCCCAATCATACTTTAGCTCTACCAACTCTCCATTTTTTCATTTTTTCTTTTTTGTCTATTCAATTTGTATGCTCTTCCTTATTAAGTTAATTGTTACTATTACTACTCTCACTTTTAATTGTCCCCGGTATTATTTCACTTGTTCCACTTGTAATTCTAAATCAATTCCTTTATGCAACATTAAATTCGATACTATTAAATTTCACACAATATTACGTAACGTTTTTATTTTATTCGATTTGTCTGCTAATCTTATAATTGCACACCTTTTTCAAGTTCTATCCATCGTATGAATTAATATATATGTCATGAAAAATACTCATTTATTCATAAGTAAAAACACAGTGTTTTGCTCAGCGAAGAAATTTCTTTTCAACGACTTCATTTTCAAGCTGTACAGTCGTATGTATATTAGAGAAAAAAGGTTATTAAGTGGCACTAAATAATTGCTCAGTGAATATACGTATATGTGATAAGAATAACGATAATTAAAATTTTATAAGGGGTAGAGTTGAAGTGGATAAATTACAAAATTATTAAAGATTGTTTTATAAGTGAATTGAAATCAAAAGTGCCAAAGAAAACACTGTTTATGAGTCTGGCATTCAAAGGTGACACTATTTTGGAATTGATTAAAAATCGTTTATCTAAATGTATTAAACGCACTTTTCCTGCAGTTGACTTGCAACTAGTTTT